ATCTGTTACCATGTTTAAAAGACCAGACAGATACGATACCTGGATTTTAATTCCATGATCTAGACAGATATGCAAACGTTATTGTGATTATATATGTTTCTTGCAGCTGAAAATACCCAAGTAATAATTCCAAAGAAATCATATGCAGGTCTGTTTCTACAAACAACCATTTTTCTCCAAGAGAAAATCCATGCATTAACCATCTAGACCTAAACAGCTTGCCTCTAACTGTATAACCAGATCAAGAGATGAGCTGAAAAGACACTCCTGATCCAAGCTTGGCAGTATTTTATTGACCATAATAGTTCATCATGTCACCATGTCATCCAAAGACAGAAGAGCTATTTTGGCATAACTCAGGCCTTTTCATAAATGGGGTATTTTCAGTCCCGGGAGGTTAATAATGTAATAGAGCAGTAAATATTGCTTGTATGAAAGCCGAAAGCATCGCTACAATGTGAACTAACATCTCTAATTCATCTTTTTGTAAAATATGACAAGTTTAGTGTTTCTGCTAAATTCTTTAAAAATTCCTAGAAATTCTGTGTTCTGAGTTTGAGTAATAATGGATCTCTTCCAGCTGATGAGAGAATAACTCAACTGCCTATTAAAGAATGCACAAGTGACTAAAGAATGCACAAGCAACTTAATGGAATCAAATAAGGGTTAACAACACACGAGAAGGACTTGGGAATTGTTATAGACAATAAACTATGCAACAATGTGCAATGTCAATCAGCAGTGGCTGAGACCAGTAAGGTATTGTCATGCATGAAAAAGGGCATTCATTCTCTTTATAAATCACTGGTAAGACCACATCTTGAATATGCTGTGCAATTTTGGTCACCTGTTCTAAAGAAGGATATTATGGCACGAGAAAGAGTGCAGAGGCGGTCTACAAAATTAATAAAAGGAATCGGACATTTTAGGTATGAAGAAAAGTTAACAAATTTAAATCTTTTTAATTTAGAAAAACGTTGCTTCAGAGGGGATATGATAACATTATATAAATATATCCGGGGCCAATACAAACCATTGTGTGGAAATCTATTCACAAACAGGACTATACATAGGACATTAGACTGGAAGAAAGAAGATTTAGTCTAAGGAAAAGGAAAGTTGTTTTTTTTACCATAAGAACAATAAGGATATAGAATTCTTTGCCTGAAGAAGTGGTTTTATCAGAGTCTGTACAGATGTTTATACAGCAACTAGATGCATACTTCAATTATATAATTTTAAACTGTAGGGTAATAGCTTCTTGATCCAAGAATAAATCTGACTGCCATTCTGGGGTCAAGAAGGAATTTTTTTCCTAGTTTGTTGCAAAATTAGAAGTGCTGCAAACTGGTATTTTTTTGCTTCTTTTGGATCAACAGCAAAAAACTAATGTGAGGAAGGCTGAACTTGATGGACACATCTCTTTTCAGCCTATGTAACTATGTAACTATTCAATATGTTTTACTAAAGTATTTCAATCCTGAGGCATAAAGATGCTGACAAGTTATTTATTCTACTCTGCTTCTTACAGGTTTATTAAAGGAACACTATAGTCACCAGAACAACTACAGCTTATTGAATTTGTTCTGGTGAGTAGAATCGTTACCTTCAGGCTTTTTGCTGTAAGCCTTGTCTTTTCAGAGAAAATGCAGTGTTTACATTACAGCCTAGTGATAACTCCACTGGCCACTCCTCAGATGGCTGTTAGAGCTCCTTTCTGGGTCATGGCCTAAAATGCATCCAAACATTCAGTATTTCCTCCCACTGCATGCAGACACTGAACTTTCCTCATAGAGATTCATGGATTCAATTCATCTCTATGGGGAGATGCTGATTGGCCAGGGCTGTGTTTGAATCATGCTGGCTCTGCCCCTGATCTGCCTCTTTGTCAGTCTCAGTCAATCCTATGGGAAAGAATTGTGATTGGATCAAGCCACCACTTCTAGGGATGTCAGCAGACTGCTTTTTTTATTTTTAGTTTTTTTAGGCAAACTGCATGCAGATCTACAGCTTCTGGCTTGAATACAGTAAGATTTTGCTATATTTATGGAGGCATGAGGGGCCCAGAGGGGCTAGATGGTGGTTTTAACACTATTGGGTCAGGAATACATGTTTGTGTTCCTGACCCTATTGTGATCCTTTAACTGAAGTGAGAATTGTCAGAAAATTTTAAGTGAACTTCAAATTAAAGGACAAAGTAGCCTAATGATAAACATTCTCCAGGTCATCGATGCTTCAAATTTGATTACTTTGGCCTTAAATATTAAATTCACTTTGAATTTTCTACAGTTCTCATTTTAGTGAATCATCCTGTTAGACTCTCCAAAGATGCAGAAGATAGCCCAAATAAAGGTAAATTAATCGCAATTTCTCATTTTTCTATAGAAAATGTGGAAGATGTTGTAATAAATTATTAATAGTAACAATTAAATACAAATCTTCAAGACGAACTATAGAACCCAAATATGAATGTTCGGAGGCTTATGACCAGATATAAGCCACCATTGTTTTCTTCACCTGGAAGATATCAGATATAAAAACTAAATCTGTTATTTCCTGATTAACTTCCTGCATAAGAGCCTCCTGAATATATTTGTATAAAATATGATTAATGGCTAGTAAAAAGTCACTCTCTTTCCTCTGGAACTTGTCGAAACTATGAAAAAAAACTTGTTTAATCAATGTCTGACCATTATCTAAGGCAGTAAAGACATTAACTAATTTTCTGCAATCTTTCATAAAACAGCCCCCAAATCAAGAACCCCAGACTAAAAATGCTGTTTCTCAACTTGCAATATGTTTAATTAGGAAGCCTAGTTCTGAACATGCGATATGTGTCAACTGAAAAATAAATTCTAAAAGAATAGCCCTCTATAATTTTTTTTTTTTTAAATTGACAATTTTTTATTTTTTTAAGTTGGGGGGGGGGAGTCCGGGGTTGATACAATATGATTAATGCATTATGATTAGATGACAAGACATGGAATGAGTATAGACATTCTTGATAATATTAACAGAGTCTATTTTCATACACTTGCAAGCAGCGTGGTAAATTTCACGTTAATCTGCTGTTGACTGTACAACTTTCTGCGAGGTCTACACATAACAATTTCAAATCCTCCTCCCTCCGCATTATTCCATTGAGGCCCTTTCGAGCACTTGCTGCATAGCAATAATGAATGGGGTACTGAAGAAATATGTAACGGTTATAAGGTGATGGGGGGCATCAAGTCAGCCATGTGTATTCCATGTGTGAAAAAAAACCTTGTGAGGTCTGAGCCTACACTGGTGAATTTTGGGGAGGACCCTGAGGCGCCATTTTCACTTGAATAGTAGTCAAGCCAAGGTTGCCACACCACCTGTAGGAAGGTGTATTAAGCAGGAGAATCCACCGCCATACGCTCATACGTATAGAATAAGTGTATTGTCTCTATAAGTTGAGATCTAGGGGGGCATAACCATTGTTTCCAATGTAATGCTATTAGGTGTCTGGCAGCCATAATGATTAATGTACCAATCTGTTTAGAGGCTTTGGAGATTCCTCTAGGGAACTGCAGTAAAAGACAAGTGGTGCCATTTATGGGTAAATCGCTGATACCCAGGGCCAGATTAAGAGCCCAGTGGGCCTGGTGCTGACAATTATGATGGGCCTAATTACAGAATCTTATCGACCAAAAACACTAAAACAGTCATACCTACCAATCTTCATGTATCTGGCGGAAGTGGTGCTGAAGGGAAACTCTATGCTAATCTCTCTCTAATTTATGCTTTCATCTTTCAAGTAAATCCATACCCCTAACAGCAGTGTCCAGTGAAGCAGGACGGGGTAAAAGGGTGGGCCACTGACGCAAATCATGTAATCAGAACTGCCGAAAGAGTCGAACATGCCTTAAAAAGAAGGCGTGTCTGCCTAGAGAATTGGAAGGCCAGCCTGGCATGAATGCATGTCAGGCTGCCTGCTAATCATGCAAGCTGGCCAACTAAGGGCATACTATGCAGCTAGCACCCTGAGCTTGGCATAAATGTGTCTAACGTTGAGTTAGCTTCACGCTTTCTAAGTACTGCACTCGCTGGTCCATTCCTCTCCTTACCTCCTTACTAGCAGGCAGAATCTCCTGGTATATAGTCTGGGACAGAGGAAAGCTGTCTGTAGTGAGTGTAGAAGAAAGTGAACATGCCACAGTGTTAGAGAGACTGAAGCAGCAAGATCATTTGCATTGTACACAAAGTCAGCTTTACCTTAACTAATTTCATTGTCAGCCAATCCACATATGTTTTGTTCCCATACATCCCTCTAAAGTTTCCATACTTAAGCAAGAGTATGTAAAAAGTAGTTAGGGTTGCCACCTTTCTGGAAAAAATACTGGCCTTACTAATTTGCATAATTAATTATGTATGCGTGTAAATCACAAGGAGTGACCTAAGAGAAAATTCTATAAATTCCCCAAAAAACTACTTACATTTATTCTGCTGAATAAAAGATGGATTGTTACCAGTGTCTTCCGGGTGTCTTAGTGTCCCCTAGTCTTCCAGTGTCCTCATGTTTCCCAGTATCCCCTAGTGTCTGTGTCCCCTATGTATGTTTCAGTGCCCCATGTGTCCCAGTGTCCCCTCATGTCCCCATGTCTCAGTGTCTTCTATGTATCACAGTGTCCCAATGTATCACAATGTTTCAGTGCCCCATGTGTCCCAGTTTCCCCTCATGCCCCCATGTCTCAGTGTCTTCTATGTATTACAGTGTCCCAATGTATCACAATGTTTCAGTGTCCCCTCATGTCCCCATGTCTCAGTGTCTTCTATGTATCACAGTGTCCCAATGTATCACAATGTTTCAGTGCCCCATGTGTCTCAGTGCCCCATGTCTCCCAGTGTCCCCTCATGTCCCCATGCTGCCCAGTGTCACTTTGACACTAGGGGACACTTAAGAGACATGGGAAACCCTGTGAGACATTGGGACACTAGAGGACACTGGGAGACACTGAGACATAGGGACACTGGGAGACATGCGGACACTGAGACACTAGGGACACTGAGAGACTTGGGGACATTGGGAGACATGGGGACACAAACGCTAGGGACACAGTGTTTCAGTGTCCCCATGTCTCCCAGTGTCCCCAAGTCTCTTAGTGTCCCTAGTGTCTCAGTGTCCCTAGTGTCTCAGTGTCCGCATGTCTCCCAGTGTCCCTATGTCTCAGTGTCTCACAGCATCCCCTGATCTTCCAGTGTCACCAGGTCTCTTAGTGTCCCCAAGTGTCTCAGTGTTTCCAGTTTACCCAGTGTCCCCTAGTGTCTCCCAGTGTCCCCATGTCTCCCTGCAGCCTTTACCCCATCCTTCACTTCCCTGAGCTGTAGACTGTTTCTGCAGGCTGGGAGCTGCTGTCTGGACTCTCTGTGCTGTGTAGCTACTCCCCTATGAATCAGTGAGTAGAGAGAGGCAGGGAGGGATATGCTGTAACTTCCTATCCCTGCCTCTCTCCATACACAGTGACCCCTACTGGCCGACGCTGGTATTGCAGAGTAATCTCTGTTTATACATAGAAATATGCCGGCATTTGTATTGCCGATTTTACTGCAATACTGGCACTGGCCAGGCAGCCTCAAATACCATAAAATACCAGCCAGGTGGCAACCCTAAGAGTAATGTGTAAAAAAAAAAAAAAAGTAAAAAAAAATAAATATTTTTTTCTTCAAAATCAGTGGGCCTATTCCATGGGCCGGGGCCTGGGCCTGGAGCTACAGCTCCATCAGCCCCTATCTTAATCCGGCCCTGCTGATACCTTTCTGTGTCAATACCCTAGCTACTGTGTCCCACAGAGGGGCTATATCTGGGCATTGCCACCAGATATGCATCATGTTGCCTTCATTTAGTTCACAGCGCCAGCATAGGTTAGGAGTTGAAGGGTACAACCTGTACAGCTGGTATTACCAGTATATTCATTTTCTGTGTGCTTCCACATGGGAGTAGCACCTAGTAAAACCCTTCAATGCGATGAGTGACAGGATCCATTGTTTGGGGGTCATCTTGCACTCTAGCTCCTGGGACCAATGTTTACTAAAAGGGAAATCCCTGTTAGCAGCTGCTCCATCAAAGCTCTGTAGCATTCTGAGAGGGCCTTGAGTTTCTTGGGTGAGGTCTTGCATCTAACTTAAACAGCATTGTCTACTGGGAACGTTGGTGGATTAGGGAATGGGTCAGGTTGGACATGTGACATTATTATACTTCTGAGTTCAAGATATTGAAAAATAAATGAGTTTGGTAGGTGATACCTGCTTTGAAGCTCGGGAAAAGGCAGAATAATTCCCATATGTCTCCTATGTATTGTACCCATTTTTGGTGCCAAGAGCGGAATGTAAACCACGGTGATATGACTGATAGAGCAGAAAGTGGGGCAGCCATGAGGAACTTTTGGCTCTCTTCCCTCCGTGCCCTAAAGTGGTCCCATTGTTGAACCGTGAGGAGTGTGGATGGGAGTAGCAGTAGGTTTTTGTGCCTGAGATGCTTAGGCATCCATCAGACATCTATTAAGGAGTTGCCCTGAACTCTCAAGCTCTCCATGTCGACCCATTGTAGATCCCCCTTTGGGGCATGCATCCTAATTGCTGATTCAAGTAGGAAGGCCTTATGGTACAATTGCACACCACCTCGTGAAGAGCGGCACTGAAGAAGTGTGAGAGAAACGCGTGGTTTACGTGAATCCCATATATAGTGGCTAATGCTCGCTTGTATGTTTCTGCTAAGAGAGAAGGGCAAGCGTAAGGGTAACATCCGTTTGTCTTGACTCAACAGAGACTCTGTTCCATGTGCTTGGCCATATGAAAGAAAAATTCCTTACCCCATGAGAAAACTGGATGCTAGCTACAAGAAAGACCATTTTACCAAGACAGGTTTGGGTATTATTCAACAGAGCCAGGGGTACTCTGGACAGAGCTGTGTCAGATTACTAATGTGGATTAGGTGAAGCATTATAATTTAAGTATTTTTTTTTACCATTATAACTATGTATCATCACAAATTGTTTGGGGTTTTTTAATGTAAAATGCAAGCTTCAACTAAAGATGACTTAAAGACATGAACTGGATTTTCTCGTTTTGTGCAGCCTGGTGCTTATCGTCTGATGGAAATCTGTTACACAGAATTTGTCTTGTTCTCACAATTTGGTTAATACAGAATTACATACATTCCACCATAGTCTGGAAGCTGTGTACACTTCATGAGTAAAATATTTTTAAAATCATTTAGTGTTCACGTATTTTGAATACAATCATGATCACAGATACAGAATGCATTGAATAATCTAATAGTTGTATTATAGCCCATAATAAGACATCTGTGAATTGAATAGATACAGATCACATTTCACTGATCATAGTGTAATGACTGGTCTTATTGAGTCTCATCACCTGCACTTAGACAAAGACATTCTTACATTAGGCAAGATAATAAGACAGCCTCAAAAGAGGAATGATCTGTACATGCTCACATGCTGGTGAAATAGCTATAAATTACATCCAATAATATTGACAGATAATGTGTGAATACTTACTATTGAGTTAGTAGTATATTCGCCATGCCATTATGTAGTGAAACATTTGAATACCGCATTCTTCAGAGCTGAATTGGTGTAAATACGACCCTGATATATGTATTTTCTAGAAGTATCCCTAAATCAACTAATGTTTGTAAAAGATGGAACTGTGATCAAGTTTCGAGGATACACTATCTCTCTTTAGTAGAATATTGAGTGGCAAAGACTTTCTAGCCAAAGACTTCACAAAATAAAACGACTCCAGCAACTGACCATGCAAAACCAAAGAGTTTAGTACATCAGATTGCGCAAGACACTAGCTCAACTCAAAGAGTAACATTTGAGCGAATAATAGCTTTATAATAGGAAATTGCACGTAAGAGCAATGTAGCCAATTTATTTAGTATATTCAAATCATTTCAATCTCTTTGAAAACAGTGGTTTAGTGAATAAACTCCTTGACCTTTACAAATGAGCTTCCCCTGTATTAAATAATGATCTGGCAGTATACACTATCGATGTTATATTTGCCAATCTCCCTTTATAAAATCCTTTTTTTGACTACATGGAAACTTATTTGGGATCCCTTTCTATAATCCCTATCATTTTACATTTAGCATTGCTGGCTCACAGCTTTACCCTTCAATGAGCAATAGTTTAGCCAACCTTTTAATTTGTATTATCCTGTCTGTTCTATAATCTCATGTGTCTTTGCTGGAGGGGAATGTTTGGCTTTAAGCACAGGATTGTGTGTGTCATTTTGCGGATGTGTGTTAGGGTATGCTGGCAGATTTATTATCAAACAAAATCAGCTCAATATTATTAGTAGGTGAGACACAGATGGGTTAGGTGTTGGCATTCTGCCTTCCAATCTTTTACATTACTGCCAGAACGATGTGACAAGGTGAGAAACAGAGGCCTGAACTCTGAGACAGAGACATAACCAGACATGAAAGGAGAATTGTGAATCTAGAATTATATCTATTTATCTATCTATCTATCTATCTATCTATCTATCTATCTATCTATCTATCTATCTATCTATCTATCTAGCTATCTCTCTATCTATCTATCTATCTATCTCTCTCTCTATCTATCTATCTATCTATCTATCTCTATCTCTATCTCTCATCTAGCAGCGTGCTCTTCTGCATATCTTTCTGCCTGATTATCCATCCATACATCTGTCAATTTGTCTTTACCCCAGCTTAGTGTTTTTTTACATATTCGGTATTCCCAGTTTTTGACATCTCCAGAGCTGTGACTAGGGGAATTCTTGCCCCTTGGGTAAAGGGATACTAGAGACTGCAGATATTCAGGTCATGTTGTTACAGAGTGCTGGGACTGTCCCAGAATCTGGCACTAAGTCTAATCCATGCAGAATGCTTGTTATATTTCATTTCAATATTGTTAGAAGCAAATACCTTAATGTTCTTTGTTCCGTGGCCTCAAGAACCAATACATTAAGACTATAGGGTCAGAAATACATGTTTATGCTTCTGACTCTATAGTGTTTCTTTAAGTTCAGGGATATTGGAGATAGAGGTCAGTATTACAGATGGTAGCCAGTCAAAATCAACAGATTGGTTTGGATACATGCCGCACAACGATACGTCACACACATGTCACCCACCGCATTATGACTGTGTGCCTTAAATTAAATTTTTTTAATTTCTCAAACATATTAATGTGGTCCATTAATTCGGTAACATATATTAGTAAAGGGTAATACCTAAAGTGATAGAGCATAGGAACGTACCCAGCACAGACCAGGGAGTTCACCAGGGAAGAGGCCTTACTTTCAGTACCAGAACAGAAATATCTGGGAGGTGGAGCAGGTAATTAAACAAGGAGGAAGTTTAAAGCGTGGGTATGGGAGGGTTAGAAAAAGAGAAAAAGTCTGTAAGGGGAAAAAAAGAATGTTAGAAGAAGAGGGAAAACGTTTTAAGATTACATAATTGTAGTACAGCGGATCCAAGTAATTTTATTCCTAAAAAGACAAGACAGAAACTACTAAGCTAAAGGAGGCGTTTCCTTAATTCATACTCATTTCTTTTTCAGGTTAGGCATATACACAGCTCTTATCATGTTTCTATAAATTAATATTTTTACACCTTATTCACTATTCTTTCTCTGTCTATTGTCAAACTGTACCCTCTTATTTTGGGGAATTAAACAAGTGTGCTGTATACTTGAATAAATTGATTGAACAGATTGCAGACAAGTTGTCAGATACAGACTGATGTAAAAGAGAGGCTCAGGCAGCAGAACCAGCATTTTTTTTTTATAGGGCTTAATGAACTTAAAGTGTGAATTCATATGCTTTCTTTAAAAGTACAACAGAAATTCCATTTTACATTCTAATCACAGAGGTAGCATTTTGAAGACACTGTGCAATTAAAATGTGTTAAGGTTTCCACAGCAGAGAAATGTCTTTGTTTTCCATTAAATGGAAGTAACAAAGGAAGCGTGGGGTAAATACCGACAGATAGCTCATTGTGTGAATAAGGATAGAGAGGTGCTGCTGTCATTTAGACATAGTGCAGGCAGAACACACTCTCACCTGACCATCTGGCAGGGCACACTGAAAAAGGTCCCAATCACTTGGTTTCCAAGGCAACCCACCCTTTA